ATATTAGACCTTTTGAAGAAAACAAAAATTTTAGACATTTCTCATAGTATAACAGATTATATTATAATATAGAAGTAAAGATAATATGTGGTTTTCTTTATAGAATATTATATAATTTTTATGCCTTGCACAGGCAATAATAGTATTATCTTGTTTTGTTTTTTCTTTGCCCTTTTTTTTTTTTTATTATTTTTATTTTCTTTTTTTTATTTAATTTCCACTTAGGTTTTATAGTATTATTACTTTTTTTTTCTATCCTTCTTTCTGTATATATAGTTTTTTTTTATCTTGTTATTCTTTAGGCAAGGATTGTGAAATTTTCTTGTTTGAGTAATTAAAAGAGAAGAGATTTAAAAAAAATTTGCAATCTTAATAGACCAATCTAACAAATATTTAGATAATTATCTAAATATCAATAATATATAAAACAGATATTTGAATAAATTTAAATCTAAATAACTAACAGATAAATAGATTAATAGATAATAAAAACTCTATATTATTTAATTTATACTTTTTGTTTAGTAACCAAGTAATATAATTTAATTTTAGCAAAATATTTATTACTAAGATAAATCTTGTCTTTCTATATTTTTTAATTAATACTTTTTTTTTATATATATTTTATTATACTTAATAAACTAACAAGTATATACTTTTCAAAAATTTCTATTGTTATAGATTTTGTAATTAAATTGGGTTTAGATATTGAATACAAGAGACCACTATTTATTATCAACCTTTCTTAATAGAATTGTAACTGGTTGGTTAATATTAAAAAAAATATTGTATTTCTATTAGAAGTTAAATTCATTAAATTTATCTTTAATATTATAAAAATATAAAAAAATAAAAATTTAAAAGAAAACTTAATATATATAAATTTTTACAACAAATTTATAAACTCTTTCTGATGATTTCTTGTACCAAATTTTCAATAACCAAAATTTCAAAAAAATCAGTTGTTAAAAATAAAAGAAGAAAGACAGTTATCTAATAAGTCCGTACCAGTTATTTAGAGATAGTTCTTATACACTACCTGCTAACTAGCTTGGAGTTTATTACTTACTACAAAAGCAGCATCTGTTGTTTAAAGGTAGTTCTCATATGCTACCTGCTGACAAGTTCAGAGTTTATCACTTATTATAGCAAAAGCCTTCTGTACTCCACTCTCTTTCTAGTTAGAGTAGATACTTTTTTTTGCAGAAAAATAAATACTCTTTAAGAAATAGTACAAGAGACTCTTTCTTTTTACTTTTTTCTATCTCTTTGCTAGTCTTCTAAAATTTTCATCAAAAAGTGGGTAATTTGGTTTACTTTCTCCAAAAGATCAGCATTGTTTACACTTTCTAATTCAAACATACTTAGTAGAATACAACCATGTGTTATATTTGTTTACAAATATGGTGCTACCTCACAGGTTGGATCAAGTCAGATCAGGATCTGAGTTGTTTTGTGTTTATATAAACACAAAATGACTTAGATTAGACTATTATAGTCTCAGGTATGACGAGCATTTTGCATTTATGTCATTATTCGAGTGACAAACGATTCACACTTGTGTCATCAGAGATATATTAGTATTTGCTCCATCATTCGAGTGATGAATGATTCGCGCTTGCGTCTTCAGAGATATATTAGTATTCGCTCCATCATTCGAGTGGTGAACGATTCACACTTGCATTATCATTTGAGTAACAACAGAAATGTGACACCATCGTTAGTGTCATGACAATAGAAATACAACACCATTGTCAGTATTATGATATATATTTTATGAAACATTTTTGACGATAGAAACATGATACTATCATCAGTATTGTAATATATATTTTATGACACATAAATAGGTATATGGCTTGTATATCTTTTTAGAAAGTCAAATTTGATATCAATGGTGTTTTAATTACTCATATAAAATTTTATATATCGACTTAGTGTTTCTGATCAATTTTGATTATAAAGAAATAACTGAATTTATCGCAAGTTTAATAGGCTGAATGCATTTTACGTGTCATTTGATATCATATACTGGCTTATCATTTCCAACTGATTTTTATTACAATAAAATATCTGAGGCGGGTTATACAACCGAGTTGGCTTCATAACAGGTTTGATAATTAGGATGCAATTATGTTGTCATTTCTAGTCAGAATATATGCTATCTAAATCATTATATACATACTATATACACGTTATCCGGTCATGCTATATATATGCTATCTGGTTATGCTATCGAAAATGTTATCAAAATGTAATCGCTCATGTTCGCTATTTCAGAATACGGTTAAAATAAATCTGCTCGCATCCTAATAAAAAATCCATCCTGGTTTTGTCCTAGTAAAAAAAATGTTAACTGGGATGGATTCGATATAGAAGAAAGATTTAAAATCCTTTTTTATCTTGTTCTTTTATATTTATTATATATTCATCCTAGTTGTCCTAGTAAAAAGTAATAATCTAGGAAAAATAAAATTTATCTACTCATGATATATTTATACTATATATAATGATATATACAGTTATATACATATAATATATACTATGTATATCTATAGATAAAAAAAGAAAAAAAAGTAAGAAGATCAAAAATTTACTAGAACAACTAGGACAACTGGGACGGGTATTCTAAAACTCTTTTGTTCAGCTTGAAATTACTGTTAGGTATATTTTTTTCCGTCCTAGCTTACATTCTAAAAAAAAATTTGTTCCAGTTGAAACTTCGAAAAATATAGATATCCTGCATACTATATACACATATATTAATTATCAGTGACACTTGGCCATACTAAGATATCGCATATATACTTACTATGTATTTTTTATAACTATTTTGTGCCATCTTCTTCAGCTTCTCCCGATAATAGTGGTCCTGAGAATGATACTTACTAGCATGAGTTCTGCATACTCTATATATCGAAGATATTAACTTAACACAACCATATTCTTTACATGGTATGTGAGTAGAAGAATCCCAGTGAATTGTATACCCCTCGGGTCGATAGCAATCTCAAATACATACTTTCCCACTTCTAAAAATATAAGGACAATGGTAAAATTCTATATTTAAAGTTTTGCTAATACATTTTTTAAGTAGTATATATTGTCTAATACTAATTTCCTAAAATAATTAATTTTTATTTTGAACTTTTCTCTAATCGCTATTATAGTTTTAAATAATAACATAATATGACTACCCAAAATATTCAAAATTTCCGGAAAATCATCGATCACATGTCAGCAGAAGTGGGAGTACCACCTTGACCAGATAGCCCAGAAAACTCAGAGAATTTTGAGCCAGAGATAGAAATAGAGGAAGGCTTTTCAAGCCATGACCCTAAAGGGTCGCCCCTTCAGGCCTGCTCTGCAATAGAAAATAGTAGGGCGTTGTACTACCGGGGGGCAAAGCTTTTCCTCAATCACATATTTCGGAAAGTAAAAAAGTAAGCGAAGTATATCGATACTATAGGAGAGATTATTTACCAGTCTATCCAAGTCGCAATATGATAATTACAGAAAATGATGACTACAGATCAATGGCAACTATTAAATGGGCTTTAGTCAATGGAGAAGATATACCTTTTATGCCAATTTACATTGAAGAATATAATGAATATATAAATAATACCCTCATTATATTTTACATATTTATGGTTATCTCATTGATAGTCAAAAAGCTATAGTAACTATTTCCGGTATAAAAGTTTTCTTTGATATTCACGTCCCTGATAATAAAAATATTGACGTATTTAAGATTGAAATAAAAAACATTCTTGCCAATAGAAAAGATGAAAGGGGGGGTCGTAGATATGACCAACCTCCGGACAGAACATATAAAAGCATTTCTAATCAGTAGATATTATAAAGAACCAAAACCTCATATTCACATCATTACAACTGATATTAAGCAAAGATCAATCGCTCTTGCGATTATTTTAAATTACAATTTAGAAATCACCAGACGAGCACAAACTGGAAACCACCTCAGATGATTTGAGAGCATATTACCGAAAAGTTGCTTGAGAATATAGGATGCTACTCTCTGGATGGTCTTTATTAACCAAATATAAATATAATAATGGCAGGATGCCTTATAGTTAGAGTTTGAGGCACAGGGGCATGGGTATGCCTTTTGAGCATGCCTTGGGGGCATGTTTATAGGCATGCCACTTGGCTATTAGGCATGTCCTAGTCATGTGATATGTGTATCATATCTGATTGGCCAGTATGTCATAGTTAGGTTATCAGAGTTGTAAATGTTTTAACATTTTAATTAGGCTATGTAAAATTAATTAATTGGTTTTCATAACCCGGCCGGGTTAAAATTTGAAAACTTTAAAAAAAATTTTTTATAGGTTTTAATAACCGGGTAGGTTTTGAAAAAAATTTTTATATAAATTTTATAAAATTTTATATATGAATTTAAAAAAAAAAAGCCGGCCGGCCGGGTCTATTTAAAAGTTTCATGTTATGAAAACCAAGTAATTAAATTTGTATGGCCTTAGGTACATACGTACAAAAATTTATAAGCATCAGAGGTACAAATTTATGAGTAAATTTATAACGATAAGCGATTATAAGCAATTCATTATCGGGCTTACAATCTCTGTCAAAAAAATCACTTTATTCTTGCCATATCACATAAATGATTGGCTCAAATTATTAAATATCACGAAATTGGAGATTTTCGTAAGGCAGTATAATACAGTAATAAAGCTTTATACTTTTATTTTATTGATGTTTGGTCTTTCACCAGAAAGCTTCACCTTTCGCAGATTTTATAGAAGTTTCGTCTTTCTCGGGAGTTTTGTTAGTCATATGAATCGTTATAGTTTGAAAAACATAATTTTTTATACAACACGGGACAGAAAAAAGATCGAAATTAACGTGTTAACAGAAAGCTAATAATATTCATTTTTAATAATAATAAATAAAGTCACGTTACTTCCATCATTTCAAAAAGATATCATGAATACAAAATAATGAAATACATTTCCTCATTAATTACAACTAAGCAAACTATGAATAAAATTTTTACCAAGTAAATAACCAGGTCGTCCAATTACTAAATAATTACCAATCACACTATTGTTACCAGTTACCAAAGGAGTATCAAAAATAAATAAGAAAGGATCAGTAGAACCATTAGAACGAACTTTAAATATTTTATCTAAAGTATCATCAGCAGGTTTTAAATCTACAATTTCAGAAGTTTCATTATAAACTTTAAAAGTATATTCTTTTTCATCACCTTCAGAAAAACCTTCACTAAATTGACCAACTATTATAGTTTTATTTGAAGGAGTTTCCCAAAAAGCAATTACACCTTTTATTACATCAGGAGGATTATTAAATTTTACATAAGCTCGTTTTGGCGTTGGTAGCGGTGGATAAGTTGGAGGATGGTCTGGAGGAGGACGATGTGGAGGACGGTTTGGATGATCATGGGATACGGAAACGAAATGATCTATTAACCAAAGGGGAATATCCTTAGATTTTGACTCCTGTGATACGACGAGTAAAGGAGTGCATAGCATATAAATTGGAAAATAAAGCAATAGTAGGGTAACTAAGAAAAGAGCAAATGTGTGGTTTTTCAACATTTTCATAAAATCAATTTCGTTAATGATAAAAAGAAAAAAATTTTTTTTTTTTTTTTTTTGGACCTTTCCTTATACTTTATTTATACTCTTAGTCATTATTAATAAAGAACGTTCTCACGGAAAATTTTATGTGAAAAATATCACATGATTTTGAAATTAAGGAATTTGGGCGTAACGTCATGCCACTGAATTTAAAAAAAAAAACACACGAACCATATTTAGTTAAATCACCTTGTTTTTTAACTTTATTAATACATATCGGTACCGTAAATAACATTAAACCTTTAAGACCAGTTTTTCTACAGGCATTGATTGGTGAGACTGTATTTCTTAAAAATATATGATTCAATTATAACGTATTTTTCATTGTAGGTACGCATTTCAATAAAGCCAAGACTTGCTATGGTTTACGTATTTCGACATTAAAAAAAAAGTGTACAGCACGTGGTGAAAGGGAAAATTGACACCCTGATATTACTGCGGATCCGAAATGATACAGTCCTTGAAAATAGAATCATCATTATTTCCGACATGATACAGTCCTTGAAAATAGAATCATCAGTATTTCCGACATGATACAGTCCTTGAAAATAGAATCATCAGCATCTACGCTATACTAAGTATTCGCGAAACCATTTCACTTTGAATAAGGAATAACTCATGATGGAGTTCAACGTTAAAAGCCCATTAAGTGATTTTTTCCTCGATTACTAAAAATATAAACCTGTAACGACCAAATTTTTTCCACACCTTTTTCTAAGCTTTCCATTATTAGAGTTTAATTTAGTGTTTTTAGTTACTGTATTAGTATGGCTCATTCCCGACGCCCATCAATCCCGGAACAGTTGCCACTTCTACAATGTACGTATTTTATTGTTATTGTTAAGCCAAAAATGTTGGCAGTTTTTTAATGGAGAAAAAATTCCTATCCCACAAAAGTAACTAGTATTATGGCATAACGTTTTCTCTCTCATTTAACAATGTGTAAACTTTGCCCGAGAGACTTCATTACACATCAGTCTCCAAAACAGCGTATGTACAATCCATTATGCCTGACATATACAAAAAATGGTTGCACGCACGTCGTATAATACAGTACGTACATGACTTAAGGTGTTCTCAAGCGTCAATCTCGATGCGATTAGAATGTGATCTTAATAGTGCTCATCCATAATTATTTTCATAAAATTTTGTTGAAAATTCGAATATGCAATTTGATGTGATTGAAATCTTCTCAAGCGTTCAAATTTATTATTTAATTTCGATTTGTATATTAGGCCATGCAAAATTAATTAATTGGTTTTCATAACCCGGCCGGGTCAAAATTTGAAAACTTCTAAAAAAAA